CCTGAATTGAACTATAATAGATTTATCTACAGAAATTAAAACAATAAAGATGTGAATATATAAACTAAAGAATGTATGAGGACTTTGTATGCTAAAGGTGTTGCACACTCTACAGCAGAGCTAAACTGTGATTTAAATTGAACTGTAATAGATTTATTACCAACTTTATATCCAGAAACAAAGCGAGAACTAATATTACTAAGATGGACATTAATCATGAGCTTACACTTGTATCTGCTGAGGTCTGATTATCATCACAACCACTGATACAAATAGCTAGCCCTCCTTTGGTGCCTTTATGCTTATATAGAGGTGTGTGGTCCTCCCATTCGCAACGCCCAGTCCTGCAACAAGCAATAACAAATTGAAAAATCTGGTTATACTTTACATGATATTATTGCTCACAGAATCAGCAACGCACCATCAGAAAAATTAGAAATGTAGGAAATTCATGCAATTTTCTTTTTCCAAAGAAACAAAATTCCACCACCCGTCTTATTAAGTGATCAGATGAAACTACAACCAAAATATAGGTAAAATATGACAATTGGACCATCATCATAACAAAAACCCCTGCCTAAGGTGCACCTAAGATCAACAAACCATATAACCATAGTAATAAAGGAGTAGTAGGAGAAAAATGGGAACCTCAATAGGTAACAACTTGGATGAAAATAGAAAGCAAAGATCACAAACTCTTCAAAAGAAAATTCATGGTGATAGACAAATATCACGTATTTAAATATAGATATCGGGGAAATATCGGACAACCAAAATCCATATCGAATTGTGGATATCGAGTATATATCGGGGATATGTAGTAAATATAGGAGTGCCTTATCGGAAATGTGCATATATAATATAATGTTCCAATATGTAATCTAAGCATACAAAAATGTAAATAATATATGATTAGGACCACTACCAACCACAGAAACTTACTTAGGGAAAATAGCCTACTAGATTTTACTAAAAAATTGGGTTGGAATTTTTGCTAAAAAACATTAAAAAAATTGCAGAACTATATTGTCTTGATAAAAGAACATATCAGCTGATAACTCGGCGTGTCGGGGATATATTGCCCAAAAACTTTCAAAAAGGTGGTAAATGATATTAAAATCATATCGTTTTGGAGCTAGCCTTATAAAAGAATATATAGACAATATATCGGCTATAGCAGGGATATTTAAAACAATGACAAATATTAGAATGAAAGTCATAAAGCTACAATTATTATTCTGGTTTCTGTAAGAAACTATCCTCAACTATTTTTATTAGAGAAAACTACCCCAAACGTTTTTATGGAACTACCATGCATAACTGCCTTTGGTGAAAGTCATCATCATAACCAAACGTGACCTTTTTTCGACAATCTCATTTTTTTTATATAACTACTCTCCCCTTCTCACATCTTAGCACAATGTTAAAGTAATTTAGTCACTTTTAACTGCATGGTTAACACATTTGTGGGTTTACTGCTTACTTCAGAATTTGTGAAGTTTTCTCTAATAAAAATAGTTCAAGGTAGTTTCCTACAAGACCGCTAATAGTTTTCATGGTAGTTTTGTGAAAGTTAACTGATGAGCAAATTGAATTAAAGATGCTAGTGAATGTTAAGAAATAATGTGAAGTGAAAATGGAAAGTAAAAAAGGGTAATTAGATTTAGAGGTATATTATCAAGGCAAAGAAGGAATTATCTAATGTCGAAAATAACATATAACCATGTACATTTTCCTTTAATTCACATGAAACCCTCATGCTCGCCATATAAGACCTAGATAAAATACATAATGAAATACACAATGGTCTCATCTCTCATCTAGATTGTATTGTAATTGAGGGTCCTGATACACCATAATCTATTGGTCATAGATCTTTGGTCCAAATTCAACTAACTCTTATGGAAGCTAAGGCCTACTTTTAAAAAGACAAGAAGTAGAAGATGACTAAAAGATGCAAGATAACTGAATGGTTGGCAAAGATAAACTTTTAAATGAATATTTATTTTCTTACCTTCATAGAACTTCAATAAATTATCTAAAATGCTAAACCTAAGGGTTAATCATTACAAACTGAATAATCTAAAGCTCCAAAATTTCGACAAGGTTAGAAAAAGATTGCATAACAATAATGCAGAAGCCAACTAAAAAACTACATGAGAGTGGACGTCTCTAGCAGTAACAATAAAGGCAGATTTACTAATCTTATGCTCAATATCAAGATAACACTTTGGTAGGGTTAATATGAAATCACAAATATGGACTTATTAAAATAGCCAATCTTTATTTTTATATATAGGATAACCATTTATGAAGAAGAACATTTTCTTTCTCTATGTTTTGGCATATAGAATATAAGGTATTGTTGACATCCCAAGCAGTGTTATCAATGCGTGAGGCGCAATACGGGGCACAAAGTCTCCTTATGCATACATCCGCAAGGCGCGATGCGATGCACGTGCCTAAGTGAAGCGAGGTGCATACCACACACATAATTTTTCAAGACAAGTATCAAGCACGAAAGAACATGTTTATATATTTTCACAAAAAATGTCAAGATAAAAAAAAAGCTACTAGGAGATCACAAAATAAGGTCTTAATTTCTAATGCTAACACATCCAATATAGAGCGAAGTTCATAAATTTTCAAATCCAAAGTCAAATCAAACTAATGTTGAAGCAAAACTCATGGTCCTCAATTGGGCTACTATAAAGCCTTAATGATTTTATTTTTGCTTTTTGGGATATGGATTATCGGGTATAGATACCCGACTGAAATGTTAAGAACAAAACTATATGAGGCTATACCTCACATGTGCCCTATGCGAAGCACATGTCCCTTGCGAGGCACAAAAGGTGTTACCGCATCAGATGCGTGGAGCTTCGCCGTTGCCACGAATCGTGGGGTGCATGAGGCATAGCCGCATAGTGATGTGCGCGCCTTTGAAACCACTAATCTCAAGATACATCCGCATAATCATATGATTAAAATTCAACACTATGGTCATATGAATGAGACGTGACCTACCATGTAGAAAAGAAAAGGGATATGAATAGAATGCCCAATGTCTGGTGGTGTTGGTGGTGGTCAACCAGGTTCTGATGAACTCTTGTGACCTGACCTGGAATTTAAGCAATCATATTGGGGGCATATAGAAAATTTACCATAGTTAGATAATGCCTAAACACATTGCATTATACACGGATCGAATTCGTACAGAAAGGCAGGTTCTTGTATGATAGACCCCTATCATGTATTTTGAAGGTGCTGGTGATTGCTCTAAACACTGATGACAAATTACCAAGCTTCTAGGGATATTAATTTTCATCATCATCAGAATCAGAACAAACAACGAGATCTATGTGAGGAGCATATGGCTCTGTGATTGGCCAAATTTTGCAATAATTAAAATTTCGAAAAGCAATTTGCACTGAAACTGAGAAGGTTAATACTAGGTTGATAGGTGGTTGTAAATTTTCATCAAATCATTCAGGAAACCTTTGTAGTATGGAACTACGCTTCCTAGCCAACCAATTCAGATGGCTAATGGAAACTCTTTTGATGATTAGATGACATCAACCCAAGTATCATCAAATTCTTATAATTAAAAAAAAAAACTCAAGGACTCTCCAAATCATAGAAAGCCAGTTGGAAGGATGTTTCTTGTAATTTAAATTTAAGCACCTTGAAAAATTTACAGAAAATAAAAGGGTCTACAAAAGGGGAGAATTATAGAAAACACATGGAATCACATTCAAATATAAACACCGCATAAATAAAAAGTAAAGATTAAAAAGAGCAGGGTAAGTTACTGTTTCTTTAGTTAAACAATAGTTTTAATTTCATGGAGCTAAGATAATAGAACTAAAAAGTTTTATGTTAGGGAATACCTAAGAATGAATGGTGTTAATTCTTGGTAGGGAGGAAATATTGAAACAAAGGATTTCTGTAATGAGATTCTGTTCAGACTTAGTTGTCAAGTAATTTGAGACACATAAGGATGGGAGATGGAGGGTTGAGAAGAAGGAAAGTTTGGATGGCAAGAAATCAAATTTTAATGGTCAATCTTAATCTTCCCGATGCAGCACTCCCTAAGGATTCTACATAGGCTCCTATCAAGGGTTTTATATAGGAATGGGTGCAGCGGTGCTCAAAAGTCAAAACTATATATTTTTCTAACTTTAAGAGGAACAGAAAGGCAAAAGTTCCAATACATTTGATGAATCATTTGCAAAATGGAGGAACAAATATATCTTGTTGCAACCCTTTCCTACACTAGTTGGTATAACATGCACAAAAAAAAAGGATTCAGTCTACACGTCTTATTAAGCAAATGCAGACATGCATCCATAGAAAAACATCTAAACATGTTTTTGACCGCAAGAAATTTGAAAAAATAAACTCCAAACATATCATGCATTCTATGTTCAAACTGTAGCTAAGACTATATTTCCTTAACTATTTGAAAATTATCCATTGTAACGTCCTACATCCAAAACATGCTATCTCCAAAAAGCACTCCTCGCCAAAAACTATCGGGTACACATTTCTCGTTATGTAGACTAATAGATAGACTCCTAACTGAAAAAATACGAGAAATACCAGTATGGCCTTGATTATTTAACTGCTATGTAATTACCATAGATCAATACGTAAGCATTTCTGGTTACTTATGAAGCACGGATTCACCCCCGGAGGTCACGAATCCGTGTCCGACTCGAATCGGACACGGATTCGTGCACGACACATGCAAGACACATGTCGGAATCCGTGTCCGACACGGGTCAAAGGTCAAACCAAGGGGGTCACGGTCAATTGCAGCGGTGACACGGCTTGGATTTGCCGAAGCTGAAAAAATCGCTGAAGGCAACCCGTAACCGAAACCCAAACCCAAAAGGCCAAAACTAAACCCAAATATTCACTTATGTCAGATCGACGTCGCTCGTCCTTGTCTTCTCATCTCGTCGCCTCGTCTTCCCTCAGATCTCTTCTCTCAGATCTCATCGTCGTCCTCATCCATCGATCTCCTCGTCGTCTCGGATCTCGTCCCTCATCTCGCCGATCTCGTCGCCTCGTCTACTAGGTAAGATCTTCTAACTAGATCTCGTCTTCTTCGTCTCTCTCTCAATCTGATCTCTTCGTCTCTCTCTCTCTCTCTCTCTCTCTCTCTCTCTCTCTCTCTCTCTCTCTCTCTCTCGATCTCTCGTCTTCTCTCTCTCTCTCATTCTCTTTCTCTATCTCTCTCTCTCAATCTCTCCGTCTCTCAATCTCTCTGTCTCTCTCCGTCTCTCAATCTCTCTGTCTCTCTCTAAATCTCTCTCAATCTCTGTCTCTCTCCCTCTTCACTTATTTTATTTTGAAAAGACTTAAAACTTTTTTTTGATAGAACTGTCTCTCTCCGTCTCAATCTCTCTGTTTCTCTCCTTTGTCTCTCTCCGTCTCTCTCTAAATCTCTCTCAATCTCTGTCTCTCTCCCTCTTCACTTATTTTATTTTGAAAAGACTTAAAAAAAATTTGATAGAAAAGACTTTATAACTTTTTTTGAAAATGACTTTTTGTTTTTATTAAAGAGGGATGAGGTCTAGGTGAATTAATTCTTCTGGAGGGTTTTATCCTGACTAAAAATCAAATCTTTGACTCCTTTTGTTTGTCTAATGGTTTTTGCTTAAATACTGGATTTTAGTGCATCATGAAGTCTTATTGTTGGGAAATTTAGGGGGTAATTAATTGAAGAAAATTTGTGTGCTCATATTTCTTAGACTAAGCAACTAGTTCGTCTATTGCATTTGCAGGAGGTTGTACATTGGTCCAGTGAGTGGGTTTTGTTTACAAACTTGTTATTTTGTGATAGAATGCGTAGAGTATGTACTCCAATTCTTTTTTATTTACAAACTTGTTATTTTGCGATAGAATGAGTATGTACCCCAATTCCTTTTTGTTTACATACTTTTTATTTTGTGATAGATTCATAATTTAGATTGTTAGTTGAATTTTATAAATTTTTCTATATATAATAATAATTTGAAAAAAAATTCTTCGCCGTATCCCCGTATCCTTTTTTTTTGGATTTTATCGTATCCCGTATCTGTGTCCGTGTCGTATCCGTATCCCGTATCCGTATTTGTGCATCATAGTGGTTACCATAGGTCTATATGCAAGTCCCCACCTTGTTAATTGCAATCGTAATTTGTTATCTGTTTTTGTAAAATGCAATCATCAAGCAGGTGTTATATGCAAATATTAGGGAGGACGACAAAGAACCATATAGCCCAATTGTCAGCAAATTTGGAGGTATATGCAAACATTACATAAAAACCGCTTCATACAGGTAGAAAAAAAATCCGTAAGATCATTTACCACAGTTCATAAATCTCTATAACTGATAGCAAACTACAAGCACAGTCAATCTGTGATTAAATGGACTCAAACAAATGCCAACATACACACAATGATTCTGCAATATAATCTCAATCAGGCACTTTCTCCCCTAGAAAATCAACAAAGGAGGGTTTCAAATTTGTGTTTTGTTTATAAACCCAAAGTTTTATCATGATTTATTTTTAAATCCACTCACTCCCAAATTCATTCTTAAAACTCAAATTACCCATACTGAATTATTTTCAAACCCAGTATCTAATAAGTTGCAGTACTATTCGGTGCATCAATAGCTATATTTAGATCTAACTTGCCATCTTTGGGCCTAAGTTGCTATTTGCTTTAAGATGATATACTTGGGTCTAAAAATAAACCAGGGTAAAATTTTGGGTTTATATTCAGGAAAAAAATCCAAAATTTTACATATCCAACTTATGGTTTCGATTTGGGTTAATTTCACATAACCCCTTGAACTTTGTTAATCTCACATAACCACCTGAGCTTTAACCGTATTTCACCCGACTCCGTTGCCTCTAATTCGCAAATAACTAAAATGTCTGCGGGAGAAAGAGTTACAAACTTTGTCATTTGTCACCTACAAGCAACATACCCCCACAGTTCAGGGCGGTTCTGCAAGACACCCGAAAGATCGGGGGTTTACTTGAGACGAACAAATTCATAGGGTTATGCGCAACAGCCCCCCAAAGTTCAGGGGACTTCATGAAATTGACCGTCTCAATTTCCCCCTAAAACCATCAGCTTGCATTTAAATGACCAAGAACAGCGCTAAAATTTTGCAAAAATAAAAAATAAAAATTACCTGTTGATCCGACAAAGATAGGGCAGATCAAGCACAGTACCACTATGGCAGGAATCAATGATTGCATGAAGCTTAGCTCGAGGAGGGATCGGCCTGACTAGGATTTCATTGATCTCATTGTCGAGGATCATTCCATTGGTCTCGTAATCGAGGGGGCAGAGAGTCTCATCGAGGCCGTCCTTCTCCTCGCTGTAGGGGTCGGCGACTCGCTGCGATCCATGGCCGGAGAAATGGAAGACGAGGGAGTCCTCGGGCTGGCAGTTGTGGACCAGCCACCGCATCGCCGCCTCCATGTTGGCTTTCGTAGGGATCCGGTAAGGATCGGGTTCGACATCTGAGGGAGGACACAGAAAAGATTGAGAGAGAGGGTTTTAGGGTTTCACTTTCAAATTCAAACAGGCGAGTGTGAGAGTCGATCGTGCGCTGCTTCGATTTTGGCCCCCCAAATCGTTGAACTTGCTCTCAGGCCCCTCTAAATCTTCAATATTTTGTCTAAATCTTCAATATTTTGTATCAGCCCCCTAAATCCTTGAAACTGATCTCAGAATCCCCCAAGTCCTATTAGCATGTTAAAAGAAGCCCCCCTCATTAAAGTCGAGTTGAAATAGGCAATATTCTGTTTACTTTAAGCTTTTCGATTATTTACTAGTTATATGCTTCTTACACAAACCCAAACCCAAACTCATTAGCCATTTTAATTTACGCTCGTTAAGCTCCCTAACTATGTTTAATAAAACTCTAACCCAAACTCATCTTCCGTTTCATCTTCTCCAACATCTTTCCCCAAACGACTCTCTTTAGCTCTAATCCCAAATTTGCATCATATAGATTCCCGTTAGAGAAGACGTCAAAGAAGACGCCGAGGAAGATGAAATGGAAAACGTGTTTCGGTTAGAGTTTTATTAAACAAATTTGAAGAGTCTAACGGGTATAAGTCAGAATGATTTTAAATGGGAGCTTATTTCAACATACTTATAAGATTTGAGGGGCCTGAGATCAATCTCAAAGATATAAGGGGCTAATATTGAAATATTGAAGAATTATGGGGCTCATATCGAAATAGCCCTTTTTTCCAAGTAAAAACTTACATTTTGCATCTGTACTTCTCTTGCAATTGCTTTCTTACAATTGTTACAATCATTTCATTTCTAGATTGGGTTGAAAGCTAATTAAAGATAGAGATATGACACTGCTGTAGGTATCTCACAAATTTAAAATATAGAGTGCATAGAAGAAAACTATAAATTTCAACTCTATGTAGGAAATTTTTTTAGATGGTAGGAGAGCAACCCTGGTTAAAATTTATGGAACACGCATTTAAAAGTGGATATAAATCATAGTTCAGATCAACATGCTGAAGCATACCATACTATAGTATAAATCTATAACCCCCATCATAATTATTTATTTTTGGCTTTGTAAAGATGCTTCATCTTACCCTTTTGGTACCTAGATTATCCCGAGGATATAAGAACAACATAGATATCGAAAGCGGGGGAAAAGAAATTCAAATTTGCACAAAATTACCAGTAAGAACAAGTATGCACGCCTCAGGAAAGTTGAACCTGCTGGTCAGCAGATACTTCATGCAATTCACATCATTCACAGTTCCCTTCAGCTCATAGCTTTTCCCTATGTAACTCACCCCACACAAAACCGCCCTCTTCTTTCCATGTTCCCGCGGGTAGGTCGCAGGCCACCCCAAGCCACCCGCTTCGTTCGAGACCCACGACGATGGCGAAGCCAGCTCGGATATTATTTCACGAACCCGCCCCAAGGGGCAGCGGACCCGGTTGATCGGCGAGACTGATAGCTGCAGGCGGCATTTGCTGCATCTCTGTGTCGTTGTGCCTCTTGAAGCCATTGATTGATCTTTGGCTCTAGTTTCCCCACTTCTCCAGGTTATTCTCCGTGTTTAATTGTGGATTTTATTTGCTTTGCTTTTTGTAAAGTTTTGTGCTCTGCTTTTTTTTTTGTCGTGTAATCTCATCTTGCCCGTGATTCTCGCTAGTGCGGAATTGGATTCTATCGTACTTTTGTTCATTGTAAGTTTATTATTTTTCTACTACTCAAATTTGTTAATTCTGTCCCTGAACGTACGTGCAATGAGCAATACTTCTTGTATTTTAACTCTTGTTGTATTTCAGCTCATGTACTATTTTAATTCTACAAAACTCAAGTATGCAGTTCTTTCTTATAAATTGTTATCATACACTATCTGAACTAAATGTTCATATTGCCATCAGTATCAAATTTGTAATACATTTAGCATTATATCCGTACGAATTCGCTGCTTGTTTCTGAAGATTAATTTGGTGATTTGCTCTTTATGTTTAAATTCTATAACCCCTGCTTGAAAATAATTTTGATTTTGCACTTGGGGGAGATTCGACTAGAGTGACCAACCTTTTTGGAGTGAGAATTTGTGGTAGTGATTTAGCTATTATAAGCTGAATGGGCTGTTGATGTAGAACACACAGCAGACATGTTTATGTTAAAGTGGGACAGTCGCAAATGCGGGCCTGCTCGAAGAAAATAACTTGTTTCGAAGAAACGGCCGTAACTTTCAAACCGTACGTCGGAATTGGACGAATTATATATGAAAATCGACTATCTCGACGAGACGGAGCCATCCAAACCGATCCCATCGGGTTCGGTTTGCGTTCTCAGTTTCGCCAAATTCCTTACGGTTTGAGAGATAATTATAATTTTGTCCGTTTTTACTATTTTTAGTAATAATTTAGGAGTCTGTTTTGTTTAGGAAACAAATCCGATTTGATCTCAGATTTGACCGGTGGACTTTCCTATTCATAAGGATTCTTTTTAGGAGTTTTAATGTTTTAGGAATTCTTTACTATTTTTGGTAAGTTCAGAATCCTTTTAGGAATTAGAGTCCTTGTAGGAGTTTTGTTTCTTTTTCTATTTAAGAAGAGTCTTGTAAGCCCTAGAGGCATAACTTTTGATTAATAAAATTTTGTTTTTCCTCAATATTTCTTCGTGGATTAGAAGCTCTTCGTGGATTCGAAGATCGTTCTTTGTGGATTCAGAGAACACCCTTGGTGGATTCCAAGGTTACAACTTCCGCGCTGCGTCAGCTGTCATCCATATAGTTTATAGAGCATCCGTTATCGTCGCCCATGGTGAACACAACTCAGAGGTCAGAAATGTGGAATCAAGGGCCTTGGAGGAGGCCACTTGCTGTATTATTGTGACAAAAAAAACCGCATCAAAGAGAGATATGACTGCAGAATAAAACAGCTAGATTCTTAAGCAGAGACAAAAGTTAATCTTCTTCCTTCAGTTTATTCCTTCTAGACATGTTAATCTCTCTTTTTCCCCCCGAATAAAGTCGATCACAAAAGTTTGAAAAGATTCAGTAGCAGGTTGTGTTATGCCCCAACAATTCCCTGCTCTTCCAAGTGTTTGTATCCTCTGGAAGAGTCTAAACCAATCACTGCTGCTAAAAACATCCATTAACACGTACATGCACACAACATGCACAAACACATATACAGATAGACACCAGGACAACATTAAGAAAGCTAACCCTCTTTATTATCTTTTTCATTATACCAAAATTTCAAAAGCATTAATTGCGGAGGGGCCCCTATGCTATTGCCCAATTGAGGATAGATCCCATGTAGTTCTAAATTCATGAACCACAAATCTCATTGGTGTGCACTGTGCTTCTCATATCAGGTGATTCAGTGCAACACTAGATAGCCAAAAATAACTACCATTGTACCCGAACTCCAAAGCTATGATGGTAAGTAAAGGTTACACTTTTATACTTATCATAATCATCTTATCAACTATTTTTTTATTTTTGTATATACTAAAACTAATGGGGTTACAACTGTTCCTAAGCATAGTGCACCCAAATAGTTTAGTATTATAGTTGTCTGGAACTCTCCATCTCCCTTTTTAAAAAAACTAGTTTTATGCACGTGCATTGCACATGGTTGAATATCATAATTATTTATTTCTAGTTTATTTCCTTACTAAAATTTCTTTTTTGATTTCAGTTTGATAGTTTTTACTCACTTATGTCTCTAAAATTTAATATTATAATTATTTATCTTCTATAATGTTTGTTTGAATGGGCTACACCCAATTTTAAGTTTCATGTTGATAATTGAATTGACAAGAAACCAACGTGAAGCCAATTTAAATATTCATGTTATTTGAATCGACATGAAAGAAAGTTTTACCTATAGAAGTATAGTGTAGCAAAAGCAAAAAATACTTGAAAAAATAGCATTATAATAGCAAGAGAAGTAATTAAAGCCAATAAGCCTAGACAATTGATTAGAAGTGGTTAAAATGGTATAAAAGAGAATATGAATTTTAGTCCTAAGCATTGATAGACTTCACTAAGAACCCTAAACTAAATATTAATGCTAACTCTATTATAATTTTATATGATAAAATGTCCACAAAATGAGTATATAAAAATATTTAAAATTTCGTAAAAATCTCTTCCAAATATTCCTAATTTTACTAAAAAAATTAGCTTTTGTATAAAATATTAAGAAAATATTGTCTTTTATTTTTTCTGTTTTATTTTTCATTAAGCCGAGATTGAGCCTTCTTTACTTTTATCTTTTTCTAGGGTAATTTTGGAGTGGTGTCTTTATTATCTACGTCAATTGTGATATCATGCTGGACTTGGATTTCTCCTGCTATTATTTTTCCCTGGGTTCATTTATTTTTTTATCTTCTCATCTAACTTTATTACAAGTAATTTGAATGAGAACAAATGTTAATGAGAATAAATGTTAATGTCATATATATAATAATTTTTTTTTGTGTTTCTAATTCATTATTTAAGTAAGGATTGATCTATTTTTTCTTTACAATGAATTCATGTGTTATACACCTAATAAGAGTTTCTACTCTGTCAAACAATGTTATCTTTACAACGTCCTAAGTCATCATAGATTCTACAATATTTATCATCCGCTGAAACGCGCCGCTTGACCTTGACCTGTTCCAGACTACACCGACGCCCAATCAACAACAACAGCTCACCTCGACATCCTCGACACTCTGTTCCCCGATTAAGCTGCTGTCTTAGCAGCCGCTCGATCCCTGCCGACCGCTGAGCTCATCGCCATCTACGTCGACCTCAACTTCCAACTGAGATTCGTCACCTAGGACAACCTCGACGCCTCCACACTGACGGCGACCTCACTAATCTCGACATCGCTGCTCGCTCGAAGAGATTACTCTCCTAGCCCTCGTCCTCGTCCCCGTGCCCGTCCCCGTCCAGATCCGACCATCTGGCGGACCCGCTGCTCAATGACACTGCCGCTCAACTACACCGCTGTTCGTCCTCAACCTTCACTCTGACCTGATCCCCTGCCTTCGCCACGGTCCCTCTCCACACTTACCTATGGGGTGCCCTCGAGGTGTTCGACATAATGCTCTTTAGACTTCTGCATCTTGGATCGGCCCCACTCCTCGTCCATCACCATATCGTGGATCCTCTCTGCGCTATGCATCAAGACGACCCTGGTCTTCGGCTCATCCTGTCAAGCGACAACAATCCAGGTCGCCTTTGGGTGCAAGGTGGTGTGCTTGCCACCAAGCAGTTGGGGCCACTCCGAGTACAGATGTCGCGCACGATGGACTGGCTCTCTCACTACCTCAGCTCACTTGGCCTCACGATGGATGATCAGTGCCTGCTCAGACTTGCCCATTGCTTTAGCTGCCCATGATTTGTGTCGGCGGCCTAAATAAGCCCTATCAATTCTCCGTCACTAATGTCCGCCATGTCCCAAGCATTACCTTGAACGTATTCTTAATTTCCCAGCTCGTTGCCCTAAATTAGACCGTAATATTCACCGCATCTTCTTGCGTCATACAAGATCCCAAACAGGGGGAGCTATCGGGACTGGTCGGTAGCCATAATGGACTTTACTATATGGATAAGCTCATCCTTCAACATCACACTGCTTCTATTATGCCTCTCGTGGTGAAAACCGCTACTACATCATATTCATAGATGATAACTCACGGTTCATATGGATCTACCTCATGAACAAGAAATCTGATGCTAAATGTATCATAACTTCACCATAATGATAATCAATTCTTTAAAAAAATTTAAAATTCTATGCTCCGACTTAGGGGGAATACACCTCACATCGCTTGACCAACCTTCTAGCATCTTAGGGCACCCGGACTTGGTTCTCCTCTCCATACACCCACCAACAAAATGGAGTAGCCGATTGATGTCATCATCACAATGTTCTAGAAATCACCAGATCACTCATCTTATCTATCTCGGTTCATGTTCAATTCTCGGCAGAAACCCTGCTCACGAGTTTCTAAACTAATCAGCCGCACTCCCTCATCCACACTCAAAGGCCTCACACATTTCCAGCAATTGCATCACTCATCTCCAAACTGCTCCCAGCTTTGAGTTTTTGGTTGTACCCGCTTCATTTAAATTCCATCCTCGGAACTCAATAAACTATCTCTTTGTGCTGCAATGTGTCTTCCTTGGATATTACCTTCAATACAAAGGCCACCGCTGTTAGAACCCTTATACCAATCGCATTTGCATATCCCCTCACGTCACTTTCTTCAAACACCTTCCCTACTATGCCATGTCATCTCCACCTGTAGCATCACCGCCATCCACCCTCACTAATATCATATTTCTTGACCTCAACATACCGATCACTCCCTCTCCAACAATATCATCAACTCCACCTCCCAATGAAGAGTATATTACAAAACCAAATTTGTCCACTAACAATACAACCAATCTTGACTCGATCTCCATCACAGATCCCACCCTTTCACCACTCACCCCACTTGAAAAAATAACCATCACACCGACTCCCATTGTACGGATCTACCAACTACCCCATCAGATGAGCCACTTGCTTCAGATGTTATACCTGAGCCAAGATACCAATCTAGAGGTAGCCAACCACCAGCTAAATATCATGACCCCAACTTTATCTTCATTGCCTATTAAACTTCCTTTATGATGATGTCAGATTATGAGGTTCCCAACTCTTACCATGATACAGTTAAATATCCTGAGAGACAATATGCAATGACAGATAAACATGTAACTTTTCAGCAAACTCATACTTAGGATCTCACTCCACTCCCTCCGGTCAAGACCCATGTACAAGATTAAGACAAGAGCAGATAGCACCATTGAGCGACACAAGGCTCAATTAGTCGCCATGGGCTTCCCACAACAATACGGCATGGAATATGATGATAGCATTGCTCAGTCGCCAAGATGACTATCGTATGCACACTGCTCGCCATCGTTACCGCCCAGCAGTAGACCCATGTATCAGATGGACGTCAAAAATACCTTCCTACATGGTTACATCATCGAGGACTTCTACATGACTCCACATACTAGGCTTCCCTACTCCAAAGTCCTAGTCAGCCACCTACAATGCAGGATCTACAGCCTCAAGCGAGCACCCCGGACATGGTTCACCAAATTCACACAGGTCATGTAACCTGTCAGCTTCATTCCTAGCGAGAATATGGTTCTGCCATGTTTATATCTACTAGTGATGGATACGATACAATCCTCCTCTACGTCGATGATATGATCATCACTAGCAATGACTCAGCTACCATCACCAAAATGAAATCTCATCTCCTGCAAGAGTTTGAGATGAAAGATATCGACGACCTACACTACTTCCTCGGGCTAGAGATATCACGCAATCCTCTCGTGGCTACTATAATCTATCTCAACAAAATTTCACTGCAGATATCGTTGCTCAAGTAGATTTAATGGATCCGAAACTAGCCTAAGCACCCCTAGAATTGAATGTCAAGCTCAAAGCCATCGATTGCAATCTGCTACCTGACGCCACTCAATACTGATATCTTGTGGGAAGTTTGGTTTATCTCACAATCACTAGACCCGACTTATCTCATGATGTATATGTCCTTAGTCAGTTCGTTGCCGCACCTCACTCCTCATCAATATGTATTACTTTGTGTGCTATGCTACCTTTGAGAGACTCCGACCAGAGCTCTCTTTTCAACATCCTTATCACTTACTCTTAGTGCCTACAGTGATATGCACCGGGCAAGCAATGCCATTGACCGAAGATCCGCCACTGGGTATTACATTTTTCTCGGTGACTCTGATCTCCTAGAAGGCCAATAAACAAGATGTTGTCTCTCGTTCCAATGCTGAATCTGAGTATCGAGCAATGACATTCACCACTACTGAGATTGTCTGGCTACGACATCTTCTCCTCGACATGGAACTCTCTTCTCCTATAGCGACTCCTCTACAATGTGATAACATGAGTCGATTAAGATTATCAGTAACCTCGTCTTTCACGAGCGCATGAAGCACATCGAGATAGATTGTCATTTTACTCATCATCACTTCATTGTTGGTACTATCACCCTTTCCTATGCGAACATTGATTTTCAACTAGCAGACCTCTTCACCAAGGCTCATACTGTATAGCAATATCTATTTCTTCTTGGCAAAATACCCTTGACAGATCTAATTGCAGTTTGAGGTGGGGTGTTAAGTATTATACATACGTAGTCTTGTATGTATTCTTTTAGTCCCACATCGGTTAGGATACAGGAACAATGCCCATTTACTTTGTATATAAACACTACAATATCAATGAAGAGATTATCATTTTTCTCCCAAAACCTATATATTTATCAGTTTCCACCATTAGCTTCCTTGATTCTTTTTAATGTGGAAAACTTTGACAAGTGGAGGAGAGTTAAACAATATACTTTCTTATGTTGAAGTCAGCTATAAAAGTTTGGCATGAAACCGGTAGCGTGGATCTAAGAGATAGAGCATTTGGTTATACTCTCAATGATATTGATAAGTGCGTTAGTTACTGTGTTTTTTTTTACTTTTTAATTGATCAGGGGGGGTTATTAATCGTTAAGTTCATGTTGTTTTTTCAATGAGATTGAATGATTTTTGATATTTTCATTAAGATTGAATGATTTTTGATATTTTTGATATTTTTGATCAGGTCGTTATTAATCATTAAGTTCATATTGTTTTTTCATTAAGATTCAACGATTTTTTATATTTTCAGCCATCTCTTAGCTATCAACACGAAAAAAAGACCGAATAAAGAAGGCATGCATTGTATTCTTATATAGATTTTTTCGTTTTGTTGTTCAGGTATATATACCCAAATAATGAGTTTTTGTTTTTAGACCTATTTGTTTACTTAACTTTATCTTTAAACCCAACCATTATTATTTGTATCTTTAAAACCAATTCTCTTTTTGTATTTGTTTCTAAACCCAATTTTTAAAATATAATACTTTCATATGTGCCCCCCCTAAATTTTTTCACCAATTATAGCCTTATAGCCTTTCATGTACCCCCCCCCCCCTAAAAAAATAAAAATAAAGAAAAATGAAGAGAGAGAGAGATAGAGAGAGAGAGAGAGAGAGAGAGAGTGAGTAATGTGGGGTTTTCCCTCTCCCTCTCCCCCCCTCTCTCCCTCCCACTCTCTCTCCCTTTCCAACTCTCTCCTTCTCTCTCTCTCTCTCTCTGCCCCCCTCTCCCCTTCTCTCTCTCCATTAATATATTCTTGTACTCTCTCTTATAAACTCATCAATTTTCAAACCCTAGCTCGAGAAACCTCTACAATCAAATTGAAGATTGACAAACACAATAAACCAAAAAAAGAGCCATAAAATTAGTATATGAGGATTTCCGGCAAATGAGAGAGTGATTCTGGGTGGTTAATTACAAAACCTCATTTAACTAACATTTTATCAAAAGTAACAAATTTTAATAATTTTTATGAATTCATGCTATACTTACAGTATAACGTGTTATACTTACAGGATAACGTACTATATTTACAAAATAATGTGCTATACTTATAGGATAACGTGCTATACTTACAGGATAACGTGCTATACTTACAGAGTTTCATGCTATACTTACAGGATAACGTGCTATACTTATAGGATAACGTGTTATACTTACAGGATAACGTGCTATACTTACAAGTAATGTAGTTTATGTTATACTTACAGGTTATCATTCTATACTAAAATTAAATTTAACTAAAATTTCATCAAATTTAACTAATTTTTATGAATTCATGAATAATAATGAGAAAATTAGTGTGAAATAATCATGTGAAATAATAATATGAAATTAATGGGTGGTTAATTACAAAACCTCATTTAACTAACATTTTATCAAAAGTAACAAATTTTAATAATTTTTATGAATTCATGATATACTTACAGTATAACGTGCTATACTTACAGGATAACGTGCTATACTTACAGGATAACGTGTTATACTTACAGAGTTTCATGCTATACTTACAGAATAACGTGATATACTTACAGAGTTTCATGCTATACTTACACGATAACGCGTTATACTTACAGGATAACGTGTTATACTTACAAGATAATGTGTTATACTTACAAGTAATGTATTTCATGCTATACTTATAGGTTATCATTCTATACTAAAATCAAATTTAACTAAAATTTCATCAATTATAACAAATTTAACTAATTTTTATGAATTTATGAATAATAATGAGAAAATTAGTGTGAAATAATCATGTGAAATAATAATATGAAATTAATGAGTGGTTAATTACAAAACCTTATTTAACTAACATTTTATCAAAAGTAACAAATTTTAATATTTTTTATGAATTCATGCTATACTTACAGTATAACGTGCTATACTTACAGGATAATGTGCTATACTTACAAAATAACATATACTTACAGGATAACGTGCTATACTTATAAAATAATATGTTATACTTACATGATAACATGCTATACTTACAGGATAACGTGCTATACTTACAGAGTTTCATGCTATACT